TTCTTGGCGGGAGAGTTACGTTGAATTCGCTCTGAATGTTTTCCTTTTTTTTTAATTCGATCATGTGTATCACGATGCGGCGCGATGGTCCACCAGATTCAATGGAAACAGAACCAACCAGTTCAATCAAACCACTTAAAATACGAGGTTTTGATAGGAGAAATTCTGGCAGAGGCCAAAGTCAGTATCATTCTGCTAGACGAAAGCGCACGCCGTCCCATTAATTCTGCTGGAAAACACCAACCCCTCCAATCATGATGCGAGACCGGGCTCAAACTAGCGAAAGATTCAAGCTCGAGACCCCGGCCGTAGCTCGGGATCTCGCCCGCACGTGCCCGGTCCATGACTCCCGTCTCCAGGCACCGTAGCTATAACTGTGGGCGGCGGGGCGGATTCACGGCCGCCGCCGCGCGCCGCCACGGTCACCACGTCGCGCCGCCGTTCCGCTTTGGAGCGGTAGTGTCAACGTTAGGCATGATGATGCCTGGATCCAGCGCGAGCAGACACGTGGTACGTATGCAGTTTGATGGAAAACCACGGGCTCGTGCAGTGGGTGCGCTCTGCGCTGCATGGCCGCGTGGTCACCGGGTGGCGACTCGCTGCTCAGCTGCCGATTTTGACACGACGCGCCTAGATAGTCTAGGCTTGGCTTGGAGAGTCTGCCTTCGAAGGTAGGTGGCGGATCATCTCGGGTGGTCTGTTGGAAACTGCAGCATTCCACACTGCACGTTGCACGCGTTGGTTTCCCGCGCTCACCGCCTACATAGCCAGATCCGTTTTTCATCGGTGTGTGCAATAGCCAAAGTGTCACTGGCAGTACGCTTCGTGGAGCTTTCGTACTTACATCCACTTCGAAACATAATGGAGTTTGCCTAATTTACAACTACTTGCCACCGCGAAACATAATGTCTCTTTGCCCTTCGCTCGAAAAAAAAGGAAATTATCGCTACACGAGCGACCCCCCCCTCTCGGTACCCCTCTCTCCCTCGAATCGGTACCCCTATCCCCCTCGAATCGGTTCACTGGATGGCCTGAATTATGCTCCCCCGAGCAGGCCCAATTTGCGCCGAACAGGCCACACCCCTCGCAGCTGAGCTGCAATGCCAGGAGAAGCTGTCGATGCCAGAAGCCACAAAGAGAAGCTAGATTTGTGGAGTTTTGTGAAGTTGGAGGAGATCCGAACACGCCATTAGTCTACTGGCATTTTGTTTGGCCACGTCATCAAGTGTAAGCAACAAATATACGGTAGCAAGGTGCCTTTTACTCGTAAATAAAAAGGGAGAAAGACAGACCGGATAAGATGATCCCTTGGAGATCTAAGATAACAATACTTCAAAAGGATCTGCATACCATGGCTAAACACTAGCATTTCTATTGAGAGAGAGACCGTGCACCATAGTTGTCGAGATAGGTTTAGTGTTTTTTTTCTAAAGAGAAGGTTTACTAATTTGTTGGGTAGATTTCACACGCCATTTTTAGTCCTTGTGAGAATATAAGATCATCAGGCAGGATGTGTGGGTTTTACCCACATTCGACCTAAATCTTGATAAGTAGTATTTTTTTTTCAAGAACGGACAACCTAGGTTGCTTGTCATTCCTTTATCAAAAAAAGTTGATTGTCATTTTCATTAAGATTATGAAATGTAGTTTAATTACAAGGAGTTTTCAACTGTACGTGAATCACATACCCACCACATTACAAAGACTCAGTCACTCTTTCTCATTATGGTCAGCCCCTTGCCGCCCAAATCATCGTGCCGCCTCCCAAAGCCTTAACTATTCAAGTGCCTTTTGAGCCATCTGACTAGCACTCTAGCATTATCATATTTGTTCAAAACCCATCACATTTCTTTCCAATCATATCTTCCTATACCTATGATCGCAAGGCCTACCAGTTCCTTAGCCTTCCCCGTTGACACTATATCTGCTAGTGAGCACCACTGGCCCCTTTTTGTATCATTGATCGCTGACACGAGAGTTGAAAAGCCCCTCAGTCTTACCGGTTTGAACCGAACCTCGCGCGCAAAAGGGTAATCGACCATGAGATGATCAATGCTATCCAGTAGTTGATCACAGAGAGGTCATTGTGGTGGTCTCGACATACCTCTTCTATAGAATGTATCTGCGGTCCAACATTCACCGCGAAGATCAAGCCAAGAGGAGAACTTTTCTTTTGGTGGGGCAATGTTCTTTCGGATGAAAGCAGAGTAGGCAGAACTCATGAAGTAGATGCCATTGGGAGAGAGCCGCTAGCAAAAGACATCATTATGGCCTGAGAGAGGAGAGTGGCCTTGTTGATCTCCCACCATAGAATGAGGAATTCAACCAAGGCTTAGTGTGAGGGGGGGGGGGTACCTTTGAGATCCTTGGTCCATGCGTCGGTGTTAAGAGCTTCTGCCACTGAGTGATATTTTGCATCTCTCACCCGAGCCAGTGAACAAAGTTCAGGAGCCATCCCTTTATCGTTATAATCGTTTAACCATCTATCATGCCAAAAATCAAGCCAAACAAACATTGTCCACAATACATCCCACAACCGTCAGAAATAAGTCGAGCGACTCTTTGGGGATTGATAACCGCAGACCTAACTAGAATCACAAGTGAAGTGGTCGCTCCATCTAGCACCGTCAACTGAAGCCATTCGATGGAGTCCTCACTCTCTTTGATAGTAAGTATACCCTTGTAGGTAGGATCAACACAAATTGAACATCGATATTTGGCGGCCACTTGAGCCAATAATTCATTCTCAACTAAGCAATTTCTCTGACACTTGCTTTGGCTCCAATTCATGTATATGTCGCTTTTTCTTGATAGACTATGTGCTTATTTTATAGGAAACAATATGCCATTTTTTAATAAAACAATATTTGTATTTTTTATGGGAAAATGGATTCCATTCCAAGTCTAATGAGCCCATGGCCATCGCTCGTGTAAACGGTGAATCCTATTCCTCACCTATTGCGACGAATTGTCACCCATTCACACAAGGAAACATCGAAGGGAAAGTGAGATCGGCCGACCCATTTAGCTAGCTACCAAATCCCTTTTTCTTTCTTTACATTCCTTTTAGTTTTTATTTCCTTTTTATTTTTCCAAAAAATAAAAAAAATGCGATTCTTGTGTTCTAACAATGTTCAGAAATTAAAAAAACTCAGATTTTTTAAAGAATGTTCACAATTTTCAAATAAAAAGTTCACAATGTTTTAAAAATCTTCACATTTGTAAAAAACTTTTCAATTTGCACAAAAAATGTTTAAAATATTTATAGATGTTTGTTTATTTTTCAAATAAACATTTATTTTTTAATAAAATCTTGACTGGCCGAATTATGGGTTGCTCCGTGCGATTGACCCGCCTTGTAGCCCACGAGAAGCTAGAACCCGTCTAAGGATCCGAATAAAATCACCGGCCCAGAAGCAAGATATTTGCCTCTCACCTCACTTGTGCGCAAGACGCGGGCACGCACGACACCTTATCCGGTGCCTCTTTTTTTCGCGCGGGACGAAGCGAGCCAACGATGCGTCGCCACTCCTCCGGGCCTCTCCCACTCCCCCCTCCTTCCCGCCGAGCCAACGGCGTCGGCGGCGATGCCGTCCCCCACGTGCTACCTCCTCCTGCACCCTTCCAGGACCTGCCACCGCCTCCTCCCGCCGTCTCCGCGCCTCCCCGCCCGCTGCGCCCGCCTCCGTGTCTCCTGCGACGTGCCGCGGCAGGGGGGTGACGGCCCCAAGCGCGGGGTCATCCCCGCCGGACCCGGAAAGGGCAAGAAGCAGGTCGTGTTCTTCGACGCCGCGCCACCGGTGGCCCAGCAGGGAGACGGCGAGGATGGGAAGGGGAATGCGCCGGAGGCGAAGAAGGACGGCGCGGCGCTGCGGGCGCTGAGGCGCGCCACCAAGCGGACGCTGTCGGTCCTGTCCAACCTCCCGCTCGCCATCACCGAGATGTTCGCCATTGCCGGCCTCATGGCCCTGGGTACGGTGCTTGTTACTCCTTCTGAATCGCGACACCGCGCTGCTGATGTTTGCTCAAATGCTTCCGGGAAGCTCGCGTGCTTATGATTTTTGGAATTGCGATGGCAGGCACGGTGATTGACCAGGGAGAGCCGCCGAGCCACTACTTCGAGCAGTTCCCCGAGGACAACCCGGTGTTCGGCTTCATCACCTGGAGGTGGATCCTCACCCCCGGCTTCGACCACATGTTCTCCTCGCCGGTCTTCCTTGGCTTACTCGCGCTCCTCGCGGCGTCGCTGATGGCCTGCACATTCACCACCCAATTGCCCATGGTGAAGGTGGCCAAAAGGTATGTATGTCCTCTTCATCACGAGCTCACTGATCGGACATCAGAGGAGAGGATCGACTGTTAATATCAGGTGCCAACGGCTGCTCATCTTGCAGATGGTCGTTTATGAGTTCAGGGGGAAGCATTAGGAAGCAAGATTTTGCGGAATCTCTTCCCCGCGCATCTATTCAGGATTTAGGGGTCATCTTGATGGGTGCCAGATATGAGGTGACTGTCACCTTCATTGCAATACATTTGCTCCAAATTGGGTTCTTGCCTTCTCAGCATGTTAGTGCTTGATGTGTTGCAGGTCTTCACAAAGGGCCCATCCTTGTATGCCTTCAAGGGCCTGGCTGGTCGGTATGCGCCTATCGGTGTGCACGTGGCGATGATTTTTGTCATGGCAGGTGCCACTCTTTCTGCGACCGGAAGCTTTAAAGGCTCGGTGGATGTTCCTCAAGGACTGAATTTCGTCATTGGAGATATCATGAAACCCAAAGGCATTTTCTCGGTCGCGCCAGATGTTTTCAATACGGAAGTCCATGTCAATCGGTTCTACATGGAGTACTATGATAGTGGAGAGGTAACCACTTTGCTCGGTAGTTTTCTACACTTGTGTGCTCAGGTGACACTAGATTGATAGATAAGCATATCTTCTGAATTTGTCAGGTTTCGCAATTTATAGCGATCTTTCACTTTTCGACCTTGATGGCAAAGAAGTAATGAGGAGGACGATCAAAGTTAATGATCCTCTGAGGTATGGTGGGATCACGATATACCAAACGGATTGGGGGTTCTCAGCATTACAGGTGAAGAAAAATGGTGAAGGACCTTTTAACTTGGCCATGGCACCCTTGCAGCTGAATGGCAATAAAAAGCTATACGGAACATTCTTGCCACTTGAAGACTCTGATTCTTCAGGTGTCAAGGGAATGTATGTTCAACATTTTCCCTATCCTGACCTAATAATGTAATCGAGATATTAGCTAGGAGATTATTAACCGCTTTTCTTGATGACTTGTAGATCAATGCTTGCTCGAGATCTTCAGTCTATTGTGTTGTATGATCAAGATGGCAAGTTTGTAGGAGTTCGCCGGCCAAGCTCTAAACTCCCCATTGAAATCAATGGCAATGAAATATTAATTGAGGATGCTATTGGCAGTACTGGTCTGGATCTCAAGGTCAGGACTACAGATTCAGTCTTTCCATTTTGAAGACATTTGTCCATGTTGCATGAACTACTAAATGTGCCTTGTATTTTCCTTTCCACCAGACTGATCCAGGAATTCCTATCGTGTATGCTGGATTCGGCGCGCTCATGTTGACGACCTGCATTAGCTATCTTTCACATGCTCAGGTGTGTGTGCAAACACACAAACTTTTTAATGGTTGTCTTCGACAAGCACTGTATTAACTGCTATAAATTTCTGGTTTACTTTACTCTTAGTTATGGGCGCTGCAAGACGGAACTACAGTAGTTGTTGGAGGAAAGTCGAATCGAGCCAAGATTGAATTTTCTGATGAGATGAACCGGTTACTTAATAAGGTACCAGAGTTGGTCAGTGTTGGTGAGAAAACAATAGATAATAAATCAAGCACTGCGTGAGGATTCCATTTATTGGGTGAGATTGCTGAAGACGCAGGTGTGGGATTGAGATTGGTTCATAGACAAGCCCCTCTTGAACAGGAAATCTTACCTTCTATTTGGTGAAGACAATTCCTGTGTCAGTTGGGCTCTGTATTCATCATTGAGGCCAAATTTGCTTGCAAGGAAAATATTGTACATTCTGATGGATCTATGGTGTTATCGTATCGAAAGGAAACTGATTTTGTCACTATTAGGACAGAGCAAATTGATAAATATAAATTATACCTTGATGTCGAACCATTGGTTCAGCTACTGAACTTCCAAAATTGCTGAAGTATCTGGTCTCTTACTTTCTTTGTTTGGGTATATGCATCAGAGGAGCTCATGTTTTTTGAGATGCCGCGCTTGACATCTTGTCATCTAAAGCAAGAGAGTTCATGGACGAGCATCGTTTACTTGATGGGGGGATGTATCTCTGCTGAGGGAGTGGTGGTGGAGCAAGAGTGGTTCATCCCAGTGGACCAGTTTTGGTTGGACGTGCCACAAGGGGAGAATATGTTCTATTTTCCTTCCAAACTTGAGCTCGCCCATATGATTCGCATCGACTAGTGGCGTGTTTGATTGCTCGCATTAACTCCAAACAGGCCGAGTGGATGCAAAAAAAAAAAAACATGTTTGGTTGCTCACGCTGGACGCTGACCCATGCTCTACTGAAAGCGGCCTATAATCTGGCTCTGGGGAATGCTTGAATCCGCGGTTTTCATAGAGCCAAGTTGAGGAGAGCGCAAGGGGGGAACGACGTACATGGGGCTGGGGGAGCAGGCATGGAGATGGTGGGCGACGAATATCTGCTGGGGCGGTATAGCGCAAAATCTACTCCCACCGCCCTTTTAGCTGCTCACCTCTAGCAAAAGGACAAATCCAATCTCAGTTTTCGCACCGGAAGCGAAGGCGACTTAGATCTCCGTTACCGGGAGGTGCTCCCCCACTTTGTCAGCTGCCCGTCCCCTTCGTCTCCGTCTCGTCTGCCCCATCTCCGGTGCCGGCAGGTTTTCGTCGTCTCCCATGGCGTAAGTACCATACAACCATCTTCCATCCCACCATTGTTAGGTTGTTAGGTAAGGTGTAGGGTCGATTTCGCTATTACTTACTGCAACATCGATGTCACTAGGACGAACTGATGAAGCTTATCATTCAGCCAGCAGAACTCATAGTTGCGATTCAAGCATGGCTTCTATTGGTCCATGAAAGTGCATCTAATACCCTTGGTCAACTTTGGTAATTGATGTCAATATATCTCGAGAAACTAATGCTTTATCTAGGTTATCTCAGGAAAGTTCCATTTGGCTGCAACAAAGAAAATAAAAGATGCCCCCCCACAAATTATCATGAAGACAAGTGTTGGCTAAGCCAAGAATTCTCCATTTTAATTTTAGTGATCCTAGTCACATTAAGGTTTGTAGGTATGCCGATACTATCACAAAGGATGCAGATGTTGTGATGAGTTTATCTCTCAATGCCTCAAAAGCCTTCAAATTTCTCCACTATATCTACCGAACTTTCACACCTTGGAACTGCTAAGCTCCTCTAGTCGGAACCACTGAGTAGTTCATCTAGGTATAGTCGATGAAAACCCTAGGGAGCATGGGTGGGCGTCCTTCATGGAATTTGCAACCGATACCCATTTTAATCTTAGATCCTTAGTGGATCTAAGCCTCCATCAACGTGGATGTAAGATAGTGCCAACTATCCGAAACATGGGGAAAATCTTCACCGAGCCACCCCGGGTTCGTATATCTCCAACTGCACCACATACTTACACTTTGCATGTCTTTGCTTTCCGCTGCCGATACTCTTGCAGCCGTGCATGTGTAGGGTGTGCTTAGTGTTGGGGAACTTAGTAATTTCAAAAAATTTCCTACGCACACGCAAGATCATGGTGATGCATAGCAACGAGAGGGGAGAGTGTTGTCTATGTACCCTCGTAGACCGGCAACGGAAGCGTTGACACAACGTAGAGGAAGTAGTCGTACGTCCTCCCGATCCGACCGATCCAAGTACCGAACGTACGACACCTCCGAGTTCTGCACACATTCAGCTCGATGACGTCCCGCGAACTCCGATCCAGCAGAGCTTCACGGGAGAGTTCCGTCAGCATGATGGCGTGGTGACGGTGATGATGTTGCTACCCACGCAGGGCTTCGCCTAAGCACCGCTACGATATGACCGAGGTGGAATATGGTGGAGGGGGGCACCACACACGGCTGGGAGAGATCAACTGATCAACTTGTGTGTCTAGAGGTGCCCCCCTGCACCTGTATATAAAGGAGAAAGGGGGGAGGCCGGCCGGCCCTCTATGGGCGCGCCAGGAGGAGTCCTCCTCCTAGTAGGAGTAGGACTCCCCTTTCCTACTCCTACTAGGAGGAGGAAAGGAAGGAGGAGAAGGAGAAGGAAGGAGAAGGAGGAGAAGGAGGAAAGGGGGGCCGCCCCCCTAGTCCAATTCAGTTTGGGCTAGGGGGGCCGCGCGACCTGCCTCCTCTCTTCCACCAGTTGGCCCATGAGGCCCATTACTTCTTCCTCGTATTCCCGTAACTCCCTGGTACCCCCGAAAATACCCGAATCACTCAGAACATTTTCGATGTCCGAATATAGTCGTCCAATATATCGATCTTTACGTCTCGACCATTTCAAGACTCCTCGTCATGTCCCCGATCTCATCCGGGACTCCGAACTACCTTCGGTACATCAAATCACATAAACTCATAATACAATCGTCACCGAAACTTTAAGCGTGCGGACCCTACGGGTTCGAGAACTATGTAGATATGACCGAGACACGTCTTCGGTCAATAACCAATAGCGGAACCTGGATGCTCATATTGGCTCCTACATATTCTACGAAGATCTTTATCGGTCAGACCGCATAACAACATACGTTGTTCCCTTTGTCATCGGTATGTTACTTGCCCGAGATTCGATCGTCGGTATCTCAATACCTAGTTCAATCTCGTTACCGGCAAGTCTCTTTACTCGTTCCGTAATACATCATCCCGCAACTAACTCATTAGTTGCAATGCTTGCAAGGCTTATAGTGATGTGCATTACCGAGTGGGCCCAGAGATATCTCTCCGACAATCGGAGTGACAAATCCTAATCTCGAAATACGCCAACCCAACAAGTACCTTCGGAGACACCTGTAGAGCACCTTTATAATCACCCAGTTACGTTGTGACGTTTGGTAGCACACAAAGTGTTCCTCCGGTAAACGGGAGTTGCATAATCTCATAGTCATAGGAACATGTATAAGTCATGAAGAAAGCAATAGCAATAAACTAAACGATCAAGTGCTATGCTAACGGAATGGGTCAAGTCAATCACATCATTCTCCTAATGATGTGATCCCGTTAATCAAATGACAACTCTTTGTCTATGGCTAGGAAACATAACCATCTTTGATCAATGAGCTAGTCAAGTAGAGGCATACTAGTGACACTCTGTTTGTCTATGTATTCACATATGTATCATGTTTTCGGTTAATACAATTCTAGCATGAATAATAAACATTTATCATGATATAAGGAAATAAATAATAACTTTATTATTGCCTCTAGGGCATATTTCCTTCAGTCTCCCACTTGCACTAGAGTCAATAATCTAGATTACACAGTAATGATTCTAACACCCATGGAGCCTTGGTGCTGATCATGTTTTGCTCATGGAAGAGGCTTAGTCAGCGGGTCTGCAACATTCAGATCCACATGTATCTTGCAAATTTCTATGTCTCCCACTTGGACTAGATCCCGAATGGAATTGAAGTGTCTCTTGATGTGCTTGGTTCTCTTGTGAAATCTGGATTCCTTCGCCAAGGCAATTGCACCAGTATTGTCACAAAAGATTTTCATTGGACTCGATGCACTAGGTATGACACCTAGATCGGATATGAACTCCTTCATCCAGACTCCTTCATTTGCTGCTTCCGAAGCAGCTATGTACTCCGCTTCACATGTAGATCCCGCCACGACGCTTTGTTTAGAACTGCACCAACTGACAGCTCCACCGTTCAATATAAACACGTATCCGGTTTGCGATTTAGAATCGTCCGGATCAGTGTCAAAGCTTGCATCAATGTAACCATTTACGATGAGCTCTTTGTCACCTCTATATATGAGAAACATATCCTTAGTCCTTTTAAGGTACTTCAGGATGTTCTTGACTACTGTCTAGTGATCCATTCCAGGATTACTTTGGTACCTCCCTGCTAGACTTATAGCAAGGCACACATCAGGTCTGGTACACAGCATTGCATACTTGATAGAGCCTATGGCTGAAGCATAGGGAACATCTTTCATTTTCTCTCTATCTTCTTCGGTGGTCGGACATTGAGTCTTAATTAACTTCACACCTTGTAACACAGGCAAGAATCCTTTCTTTGCCTAATCCATTTTGAACTTCTTCAAAACTTTGTCAAGGTATGTGCTTTGTGAAAGTCCAATTAAGCGTCTTGATCTATCTCTATAGATCTTAATGACCAATATGTAAGCAGCTTCACCGAGGTCTTTCAATGAAAAACTCTTATTCAAATATCCCTTTATGCTATCCAGAAATTCTATATCATTTCCAATCAAT